AGATATTTACCACTGTATATATGTTATAAAGAATAATACGGATTATAGAAAAACTGATACATTCTTTTCAAATTCTTTTCACGTTCGTGTGTACCACTGTGCATCTGAGTTTATATATAAAATATATATCATTAGAAACCACTACTATGTTTCTAAAATACGGAAGAACCTTAGTGAATTTATTGATGCATCATTTTTGGTCATCTTTAGGAAATTAAACATACTGCACTATCCAACTCGAAAAGATACACATTCCCAAAAATATTGAATGTAACATCACACTTTCAAATGACGTGGCGTCATTGCAAAAGTAGCTTGATATGGGATTTGGAATATTATCGCGAATTCATCCACCGACAATGGTATAATGTACAGAATGTTATTCGCATGAGGCAACTTACATAGCATCGAAGAACAAAGATCTAATTCTTCGTGATTAATTGCAGCTCACGGATTGAAGGCAGCTGACGAGATTTTGATCTTCTAACTGAAGAAATAGTTGTACACACGTATGACGAGCCCGATGAGTGTCTCACCAGAGACGAATTTCTTTGTGTGGATCCTCGGCGATGAATTTGATTTCGAAGCGAGTTTCCCATATTTCGGCAAGTCAGGCATAGTTGATTGAAATCATTCTGCAGAGAGTAAATGTAACAAAACAAGAGAGGAAGATAGTGAAAAGATACAAGTAAGACACAAGGTACTCTTATACTGAACATATTTCTGAATATGTTCGGAAGTAATGCCAATGTAATCCACCCATAAGTATCCAACCTATTAATATTATGATAAATCGATATTAAGCCTTTAGTCGCACAATGGCTGTAGTATTGTATATTGGTTATTGGCAGCGGTGACAATAAATTCATAAATTCATTACACCAAAAACAAATATGTGTCAGTTGTCACTGAATTGATTGTGAAATATCAGCAATTCCTTGCTACATCTAGTTTATTATTGAATTTATAACAATGATATTGAAAGTATAAAAAATTGAAACAGAAAGAGAGAGGTTGATTAGGATGCAAGACATGCAGAGAGGGGAGATGCACATGAACAAAGGGGGGAGCTCAAGGCACAAAGGGGTAGACCACGGCAGAGGAACAGTCTGAAAAAGAAAATCTGGTGGAAAAGGAGAGCGAAAGGCAATTTGAAATAGCAGAAATCCCTATTTCGAGATCCCTATAGACAGGGTGCCAAGCTTCCAAAACAATCTGGATGTTCTTATGGTTAGTCTTGATGCATGTGCTAAAAGCCAACACTGGTCTGAAGAATTGTTTATGAGTAAACCACTTGCTGTTTACATAGGTCTTCCTGTAAAAGATTTAGGTGACTATAAAGCCGTTAAGGATGCCCTGTTAAAAGCTTAGGATTTGAATGAGGAGGGATTTAAAAACAAGTTAAGGCAACCAACCCCAGGGAGCATGGAAAAAGTGGCTCAGTTTATGGTCAGGTTAGGGAATTATTTTGCAAATTGGGTGGCGGGTATTGACAAAACATATAATCAACTGTTGGAGTTGATGATGAGGGAACAGTTTATAAACACTTGTAGTCCTAATTTGATTTTATTCCTTCATGAGTGGAAGTCAAAAGATGGTCATGAAATGGCTGAATTGGCCGATCATTATATGGAAGTCGGTCTGTGTAGAAATCACGTAAACTCTTGTAATGTCAAAGTCAATAAAAATCACGTTTCCTTTAATTGGTAAAGACAAGCAAAATTATAGCAGAAATGGGGGCAAAGAAAAATAGTCCGGACATGTTCCAAATGTCATAAAATAGGAAATATTGCTCCAGATTGTCGTAGTCATACAATGAAGAGAGCAGCTGTCAAGGTCAAACATGAGAGCAAGCTCATATCGGCATCCTGTGTTGTGGCTTATGCAGGTGGTAATGAAGGTTGTAATTCCAAAGCAGGTAAGCTAACTTTAAAAATGTGGTCATGCTTTAGTTTTGTTCAGTCTATCAAGTGTTAATGTTAAGCCACAGACCATAGTTTCCCAAATGCCCAAGTGCCATTTGTAAGTGTGCATTTTGGGCGTTAAGAGATTCTTGGTGTAGTGGTGTGGTCGTTTTGGTAGCATTTAATCAATTTACAGGAGAGGTTTGTACCTTTCTAATGGTTGGTTCGTATCACAGTTATCCGTCAGCAAGTTATATGTCAGCACACCTTATTTTATGGGTTGAAGCTTTATGCATGAAACAGCCAATCTATAACATAGTTTTTGGGAATTTAGTAAGCGCAAGAGAGCTGGATGATTTGCCGCATGCAGAAATTAATGTAGGTCTGAATGTTGATCAAAAGGGTGACGACACATCAAGAGACTGACGAATGGTAAAGCTGTACAAACCAGGACACAGATAAGTGTCCAGGGTAAACCGGAGTTTAAAACATTGTGTTGATGCATACCCATTTACTGTATGATGATCCAGGATACATAGCAAGATG